TGGGACAAGGCAAGGACAAGGGAAACCTAGGTCAGAAAGATGTTAAATTTAATTTCTTTTAATTTTTAAATTTGCAACCAGTGAAGTATTTGTGTGTTAATCTGTATTTTATTTTTAATGTTACCTTTAGATATTAGAATTTTCTGAGCTTTTAATTCGAATTTGATATGATTTTTTAGACCATTCAGATTGAGTTTTATTTCAAGGCATTTTGATTTATATATGTATTGTTTTACCGTGAGTAATATCAAGTTATCCAAGTTGAACTTTGTATATTTATCAATTTGCTTGCCAAAGATAAATTCTTTTTTTTATTAAATCGAAGACTAAGATTTTTAGCAATAATAGTAATTCTTATATTTTCTATCAAATTATTTACTTTTTCACAATCCCATTATATATGTGTTATTGTTTCTGGATGAGTTTTACAAAAAGTGCACATATTATTATCTAATTTACCAATTTGAAATGATTTATTCTGAATTGTAATCATTGTAGTTTGGAACTGGTACATGCATTGAAAAGATATTTGCATATATTTTTCCACGTATCTTCATCAATATTGAAATTTTGATTCCATTTATTTTGGGCGGTGGGTTTAACTTTGTTTTTGATTAATATGGTATATATTTCACGAGCTCCTTTTTTACATCTTAGGATTAACTTGAGATGTATGGGTATACTTGGTAGTATACTATTATTCTCTGAATCGAAAGCTGTGCGGTTCTTCCTTATGAACTGACCTATAAAAAAAATCAGACTCTGATAGCACGAATGTTAAATTTTTCACAAAATTCTTCTAAGCTGTTAAAAATCTAATGCTGTCGATAGAGATTTTTAAATAGAAAATTCCTGAAAGAAATGAAAAACCAATATTAATTCAAAGTCCTTAGAGTAAATTATTAGACATGAATATAACAAACAAACAAACATATGATTTTACCTTTCACATTTTGAATAAGATACAATATGCTTGAATATGAACAACACTGCACCATACAGCTGTTTAAGCTTTCTCTACGACTCAACGCTAGGGGCCAAAAAGTTCGGAATACAATCTGGTCCTAACTATCGTTAAAACAGAATGGAAGATGTGTAAAACCCCTTAATTTATTAATTTCAAAATTTAGAGGAGTACCGGAAATTAACAAATTAAATGATAAGAAAGGTAATATTATTAACCATTCCATTACCCAAAAAGGTTTACCGAGGCTTTTAAGGTTAAGGCAAACATCGGGAACTGTGTAATACTTACACATTGTAAGTCAATTTTCATTTTCAAGATTAAGCTGCTGGTTACAAAAAAAAAAAGAGATGATGTCATTCAATATGATTATCGGTCTTGAGACATTCATGATCTCATAACAGCAATTCAAAAAAAAATTATTATCTTAATTATTCACTTTGAAAAACAGAAGGATCTTTGAAAATACCAAATTTTGCGCCAATGTGATGTTTGATACTTCCGGATTCTTTTGACAAACATTTTATAGAAATCCGTTGAAAGATTAGATGTTTCTGAAAATTAACCTCTCTAATTAATCGCTTTCTTTGTCAATCACCAGACAACGTTATACATGTTGTCCCTATGGGGAGGATAACAAGTATGCATATATTTACAAATTCACGGGAATTTCATAAAACATACCATTCCTACTTTTGTCTTTCCGTGTGTAGTGGAGTTACGATTTTGTCTATTTGTGGCTTATACTTTATTTTTTACCACTACCGAACTTAAATTGTCCAACAACAACTTAGGTATGAGCAAAAACCTCAATCCAAAATTATAATAGACGAAATTATGGTATGACTGTATAAAGGCGTTCCTTTCATACAGTCAGACAGCAATTGTCTCAGGTAGAGAAAATGAATGTGGACAATAGTCTCTGTGTATCAATAACAACGACTGTGTCAGAAACACACAGCGTACACAGCAAATCATATTGTGTTTTCAGCCCATTCTTCAAAAACGTTTCATTTTTGGTTTCAGAAGCTGTAGATGTTAAGTTGTTGTCGATACTGCTGTCTTGGTTTACACTTATATATATTTAAATTTCTGCTATAGAACCCTTAAAATCAACCTACATATCAGTAATGATGTTATAACCCATTACACGTGATTGTTTTCCTGCCTGAAACTGTTCTGTGCTTTCCGCTATACTCTTTGAATAATTTGGGAACAATCCTGATGCAACGTCAGATTTAAGTCATTACGGCAATATACCAATGTCTGGTGTAACTGATAACCATTAAAAACGTCACATTGTTCCCGCAAACATGGCTTTTCCACCAGTTTGCAAAGCCTTTTGTAAAATGGGTATCGAGAACGAAGAGAAATGTATCATAAAGATTTAATAAATATCCTACAGCGTATCATGGTATATATTTTAACAGAACTGTGTTACCTTCTATCAATAATGTTAAAACCATGTTATTCCTTATGTAACATATGAACCCCTATCAGATTTGTTTTTCTCACAAATCTATTATACGTTGTTTGTGAAGAAATGGAGCTAAAGCCCGGAAGGCTTTCCAAGTTTGTTAGTTTATTAGAAAGTGCAATGGGCTACATCATTTGCTAAATCCTGTCTAAGTCAGTTTTACAATTTGACTAAGAAGATATCTCATATTTAGTAATATCGCGATCTAAACGTCAATTCCTGAGGTTCTGGTACAGGTGACATTAACGCCAGATTTGTCACATTTCGATCGATGTCATTACAATTATAGTGGTCACATGGCCATTCTTTCTGCATTGCTATCGCAGGATTAGTTAACTATCAATATGATGAGACAAAGTGCTTGTAGATAGAAAGAACAGTTAGCCTGATTTTGTTATGTTGATAAACACTTATCTATACAGAATTACATCAAATACAAAAAAAACTCAGGGTCAGTAAAATAATGTTTAGGAAATTTGACCATTCCAAGGACACTTGTATAGCATTATGTATTCAAAAGAAAATAAAGTCGACATCGCAAAAATGGTGTGCTCGGCTATCGATACCTGAAGCAATGCCGTAAAATGGTAATCCTCCTTCTAATGTACGTTATGAAAAATCGCTGAAGCGTTACTTATACGAGAGGTGTGCCCGAGCATTTAACTTCTTCAAATTTACGACTTCTTGATGTTGTTGGGGTTAGGTAACTATCCAGAAAATGTATAGATATTTTCTGATTTCCCCTAAGAATCCCAGTGAGATTGCAGCGCTTGTATCTAAAAAGAGACAATTTATTGTATATGATATGAAGGAACATAGCGCTGTCTATCGAGGACAGCTCGTGGCGACAGATCCAATTACCGGCAGTATGTCCAGAGCGGTGATCAGCCTTGAGCCTTCAGGACAACACTGGTCGGCTTTGGCATGGTGACCTCACCTTCGCCTCTTTGATGATATGCTCTCACACTATCATCACGATGATCTCAAGATGGCAGTTCAATTATAACCGGAAACTTGCTGATGGGCAAACCCCCTGAATATATCATAAACATCCTTGCTCATCAAACCTTAGCAACAATTTCATTACTCTACGTGTAGTTTTCCCTACAGGGTATCATTTATAAGGGAACAAGGTGATACATTGCTATAGTTAATATGGGATAAAGTCTACGATCATTCTCCTTCAGTAAAATAAACCTTTTAGATAATCTCATAATGAGAAATAAGAAACTTTGTTTCTTTGGTGTTATATTATACTTGTTTTTTTAATTATGTGTAAAAAAAATCATATCGTTTGTATGTATATGTTGTTGCTTATTTTTAATTTACAGACAATGTTTAGAGGTACAGTGTATAATCCACTTAGGGTATGTTTTGACTCGAGAAATGTCGTTTACACATCTAGTTCCATCAATTGGAGCCGTGTTCAATTAGCGCGATTATTAAATGCATTAGATTTTAAAGGTGCAAACCTCGAATTATTCAGAGTAAATAGCACTTTATAATACTTCAAGTATTACATAGGGTTAAAATTAATTATCCCCATACATACATCACGCGTATTATCGATACTTATTCGATTTACTGGTAACCATCATTTGATGTTAATTATATTTTAATGCTTAAAGCTCAATGTTCTGTTTCCTTGATTTTTTTTTTGATTTTTTAAATTTTTTTTATTATTTTTTTACAGTCAGTCAGTGTTATATTCGAAGGTAGGTGGTTGTATGTGTACACTGTACCGAGTTGTATGATGATTTGTGTAGGTAATGGTAGAATGATTAAGTAATATATATATACTTGTAGTAGGACGAACTACTAGCTATACTTGGAGAAGGCTATAGATGTGATTACAAAATTAGTAGGATTTACATGCAGTTATCGTTTACTTGTGGTTTATTATAGCCACGTTTATACTTGTAAAAAGATATAGATTATTATAGAATATTATTTATTATCATTTCAATGTTCCGATGAGTGGAGAAAGGTAAAGGATACTTGTTGCAGGAGTTATCATTTCATGTATTTCATGAATAATACGATGACTCATGCAATATCATGATTTTTGATCGTCATTGCGTACCATTACGGAGCTTTATTTGCAGACTAGTGTTAGTTTCAAACATGCAATACGCAAAAAGTATCTTATATTGTGCTGCCATTCTGCAAAATTCTCGTTAACATGCTTCTATTAATATATTGCGTTTGTAGTGTGACAAAACAGGGTGTAGTAAGATGATAAATGATCGAGAAATAAAACTAAAAAACAATACGTTCTATAATTTTGTTTTCTGTTTATTTTAGAAACAAAAAGTCACAAAGTGCTAAGCTCTGCATCCTTTTCCTGTAACAGACAATTAAAAGGTTTCCAATAATGCTGAATACATGTTAAATTGCCTTATTTATCCAGTGTGAAAAGCAACCTATCGTGATCAAATTCTTTTCGCAGTATGCTTTGTGAACGTTTACGCAGCAAACAAACATGTTCCCCTTTTTCAATATGGTATATGTCACGTATGAAATGAAAGAATGATTAATACTCAGTTTTTCATGTTTCAGGGTGTTATATTCCATGTGGAGAATCATCCTGTCTTCAAGTGGTATACTCAATGCGTCACATTCAACTTTTTCCCTACCCCTAAACACGAGCTCGCCTATAACCTGTTCAACGTCATCACAGTGTATGCACTGCCACTACTTATTATCACCACGTCATATTCATTGATCCTCTACAAAATATCGAAAAAGGCAAAACAGGCAAAAGGTAGGTATGACGGTAATACATACCGTAAAAGTGGAAATTTTCGCGATGTGGACATGAGTAACTTAATTAAAAAATGTACACATGCAAATATTTATGCAAAGATTATATAGTAAACTCTTCCGTCTTTTCGTATCGAGTTATCTGCTCTTGTGAGCAGGTATTGATTGTTACGTCATTTGTTTGTAAGAGTAACGTCATAAATTTTTGAGAAAACGACGTAATTTTCTCACACAACCTATTGACGTAACAATCAATACCTGCTCACAAGAGCAGATAACTCTGCAATACGAAAAGACGGAATTGTCAAAGCGAACTGTTCCATACCACGATAAGTGTTAACGCGAACATTTCCACACGTGAACATTTCCACTTTTGCAGTGTGCGTGTTAGTCAGTTCCAGCATTGTTATTTATATGGAAGGGTTTCGTTTCGCAAGCGGCAATGTTAACGAAACATTACATGTTCAGTAAATTCTTGTAGATCTAAGTCCAAATAAAAAGGCAACAACAGGAACTCAGAAGACATGAAAACATAAAAACTGATTACAACTTGACTAGAATTTTCCTCTTACAGACGTTTGAATTATCACTATAAAATACAAAGGGATTTAAATAGAATAAAGGCAATAGAAAAGTTTACAAATGTTTTACTATACCACATGACCAAAGTAAAGCGAACTATTGATGTCATGACATTTAACGAAGTAAGGCCGCGCCTTTATGACTTGATTGTTTGTCCATGCAGAAAGGAAAATAGGTAAACATTTGACTGCACTATATGGCATCGGTACAGTTTAACGTTGATGTTACAAAATTCCAGTTTTCATATCTCAGTGTTTTTCATGATAAAAAAATGTTGCATGATATTATTGGATTACTTCATAGTTTCGTGCATTTAACTGGATATTTAAGAGTTCGACTTGTTGTGATGCACATACTTCTATAATAACTACCATATATATTTTAAAAATTACTCGAAGATTAAATGGATTTTTGCATCTAAACAAACGAATCAAACCTGTTACACATTTGGCATCCTCGTGCAACTTACCGCAGGTTAAATCCTAAATATACATTACCCATTGCTTTAAAATGAATATCTTTAAGAGTTAAAGACATGCAAATTATATTAATTGCTACTTGTGGGCTGCACTGATATCTTGTTAATCCCCGGAAGCGCCTCTACAGAGCTCGTCCTGTCGTCTCACGTAATTACTAATTACACAGCGTAAGCCTTTAACAAACCTGTAATTACGTAGGCAATATCCTTCCTCCATGTTATATATAGATCATAAAAAGGGACATTGTGGAAACTATAGACTGAACGCATTAATTTTGTGTTACCTATATCAAAAATTGATAGATTGCGGTATAAAACAGTCCCTTAGGGAAATTTACTGCAAGTTAGACAATGTCATCTATCTATTTATGGACCTTAGTTAGTACGTCTCCCTTTTTTCACTTTGTATCAAGCCTTCGATGTGTCCAATCAATCAACACCTGCTTTCACTATATATATTTTTCGTCTGTTGTGTTTTATATGCTTTTAGTCTCGTGGTAATTGAGTATGGAGCCGATATTGCTTTTATATTTCCCTTCGTCCACAAGGGACTGAGACGTATAGTGATATGACGCTTGATAATGAAAGTTGTATCTGCCTGCATTAGTAAATTTTCCGTTAATCCCCATTATGATGACGCTTGCTGAACGAAAGGCAGTAGTTTAGACACGTTATGATACGTGTAAGACTAAAACATCAGACATAGAATACAGCGACCGCCTTCGAATGTTACGGTTTTAATGTGTGCGACAAACACATATGTATAGAAACCTACGAAACTATATTGTATGATCATAATGAGATAACAATGCATAGAAATTCATGAAATATAATGTATATGCACATTTTAGATCTTCATGTTACATCAATGAATACGCAAAAGAAAGATAATGATATTAGAATCAGTATGTACCTACCTGATATAAAATACTACAAGAAACCAATGGTATGCAAGAACTACATGTATGTACAGAACCTAAGGAGACAACCACATATAGAACGTTATAAGTCATTCCTATATATAACGCTATGAAACAACTTCGTACAAGTACAGAACTTTAAGAAGACAGCAAGAGAAAGAATGGTGTGAGACGAGATGAATAATGTGTGAGACAACAAGATACAGAACGGTGTGAGGAACAATATACACGCATCATTGAACGTTATGAGACAACAAGATACAGAACGGTGTGAGAAACAATATACATACAGCATTGAACGTTATGAGACAACAAGATACAGAACGGTGTGAGAAACAATATACATACAGCATTGAACGTTATGAGACAACACGATACAGAACGCTGTGAGAAACAATATACATACAGCATTGAACGTTATGAGACAACACGATACAGAACGCTGTGAGAAACAATATACATACAGCATTGAACGTTATGAGACAACACGATACAGAACGCTGTGAGAAACAATATACATACAGCATTGAACGTTATGAGACAACACGATACAGAACGCTGTGAGAAACAATATACATACAGCATTGAACGTTATGAGACAACACGATACAGAACGCTGTGAGAAACAATATACACACAGCATTGAACGTTATGAGACAACACGATACAGAACGCTGTGAGAAACAATATACATACAGCATTGAACGTTCTTAGACAACACGATACAGAACGGTGTGAGAAACAATATACATACAGCATTTAACGTTATGAGACAACACGATACAGAACGGTGTGAGAAACAATATACATACAGCATTGAACGTTATGAGACAACACGATACAGAACGGTGTGAGAAACAATATACATACAGCATTGAACGTTATGAGACAACACGATACTGAATGCTGTGAGAAACAATATACATACAGCATTGAACGTTATGAGACAACACGATACAGAACGCTGTGAGAAACAATATACACACAGCATTGAACGTTATTAGACAACACGATCAGAACAAAAGTATAAAGTATATATAGAATGCTACAAGACAACCAAGAGAATAGCTACGTGACACAGTCATATATCTAGCTTTAGAACTGATCGCATCTATATGTTCATTTCAATAAGGTGTTATCTCTTTAATCCATATGGAACTTCAAGACAGGTGCATGTTAATACCTCCTTGTGTAGCTGTAAATCAGTATAATGAAACCTTATCCCAAACCCATCAATACAAGCCATATAGGAAAGTTCACACGTATACTGCATCGTATTAAGCCGCGGTCTCCAACAAACACTCAGCTAGATCTTGAGAAGGTCGCATACCATATTAGCGTTTACTGTGATTGATTGCCAAATCTACGTTGGTGTCTTGTTACTGACATTATCAATATATTTTGGCAAAACAACTCTTTCTTATACATGCTTCGTGTTTGTGATTTTCGCAAATTAGCACAGGCGAACGGATCAAGTATCATCAATTTAAAACGTGACTGCCTGATCGATATATTTAGTCATCAATATCAATACAAAATACCACGGTATAACAATCAATATAAAAACAAATCAGTCGACAACAATCAATATAATGATTCATATGACAACATTCAATAACACGTTTTTCTTAGGGCAACAGTTAATTTAAAAGTACCACAAGGCAACAATCAATACAAAAACTCATGTTACATAGGACAACAATAATCAGGAAACTATCAAAGGACATAATGAATAAGGATATACCACAATATTTAGTGTTATTTCTATATGACAGATAACCAGTCCTTTCAACACTGCCATTGTCTACAAGCTATGTGTCATTGCTATATGACAGATAACCCGCCCCGTCAACACTGCCATTTTTTACATGCTTAGTGTTATTTCTATATGACAGATAACCAGCCATTATTTCAACACTGCCAATGTCTACAAGCTATGTGTCATTGCTATATGACAGATAACCAGCCCCGTCAACACTGCCATTTTTTACATGCTTAGTGTTATTTCTATACGACAGATAACCAGCCATTATTTCAACACTGCCAATGTCTACAAGCTATGTGTCAGTGCTATATGACAGATAACCCGCCCCGTCAACACTTCCATTTTTTACATGCTTAGTGTTATTTCTATACGACAGATAACCAGCCATTATTTCAACACTGCCAATGGCTACAAGCTATGTGTCATTGCTATATGACAGATAACAGCCCCGTCAACACTGCCATTTTTTACATGCTTAGTGTTATTTCTATATGACAGATAACCAGCCATTTCAACACTGCCATTGTCTACAAGCTATGTGTTATTGCTATATGACAGATAACCAGCCATTTCAACACTGCCATTGTCTCCAAGCTTAGTGTTATTGGTATATGACAGATAACCAGCCCCGTCAACACTGCCATTGTCTACAAGCTAAGTGTTATTGCTTTATGACAGATAACCAGCCACGTCAATACTGCAATTTTGTGCATGCTAAGTGTCATTGCTATATGACAGATAACCAGCCCTTTCAACACTGCCATTTTTTACATGCTTAGTGTTATTTCTATATGACATATAACCAGTCCTTTCAACACTGCCATTGTCTACAGGCTATTTGTCTTTGCTATATGACAGATAACCAGCCCCGTCAACACTGCCATTTTTTACATGCTTAGTGTTATTTCTGTATGACAGATAAATAGCCATTTCAACACTGCCATTGTCTACAAGCTATGTGTTATTGCTATATGACAGATAACCAGCACTTTCAACACTTCCACTGTCTACAAGCTAACTGTTATTGGTAATTGACAGATAACCAGCCCCACCAGCACTGCCATTGTCTACAAGCAGACTGTTTTTGTAATGTGACAGACAACACATCCCTTCATCAAAGCGCATGTCCTTTAGGGAACATGTAATGTGATATAGCCTAAAATGAACACTTAAGTATGATCTACAAGTGCACAGGTTTTGCTATACGACTGATAATATTCCCCACTGTCAAAACAGTTCGTGTTATCTCTGGTTTG